TTCTGGGCTTTGACTTTCTTTTGGGTTTTTGAATGCTTCAGTTGGGCTTGTATAAATGGCCCAATTTTCTTTTGTAGGTGAAGGAGAGCCTCTGTTTGAGAGAGAGTCTTTGATCTGTGGCTAATAGGTACTACAATTCCGGAAAACAGGATTTCAAAGCCGGAAAACAGGATTTCTTGGAGATGTCTTTCCATAATATTTCCCAGCCGTTTTTACAAATGAAAGGTATTATTAAGATTATTTTTGCGCACCCCCGTTCCATGAATGCTAATTTTATCCGCTACGATCGCAAGGGAGCCAGTTTTAAGAGGATGAAGATTGAAGTTGACGCAAACATTAAATATATTATTGAAGAAAATTATTCTGAGGGTTACGTAGAGGTAGAGAGTCTTATGCTCTTGTAGTAATGATTTGTTAGGCCGAGGGAGAGAAATGAACTTACTTCTTTCGGGTGTTTCTATCAGTTTAATAAAGAGTTTTTTGGCTTTAAATGATTCTGTGTGCTTCTTTATTTCATCCTTAGTTAATTATGTCTCTTGTCTCCAAATGATACACTTTTGGTTGGCTTCACTCTTTGCCAATTTTTGGACTGCGGTTTGGAATCTAAAGAGCAGTTGGAACAACAACAACAACAGAGTCTTCACTCCTTATGAAGCATTGCCGAGTTTTAAAGATGTTTAAAACACATAAACAAAAGTTGTTCATGAAAAATCTCAACTTATGCCGCGTAGGGATTTTGATTTGATGGATCCTACAAGGAAAAAAAAGATTAAGAGGCAGGCCAAAGAATGCATATATTTTGTTGGCTTCTTATTATGTGACTGTCATATATATGGCAATAGAAAGTTTAGCAAAGCGGTATTCAACAAGTCATTCTGATCAAAAATATCGATCCGGTTAATATGCTCTTGCAAAATCCCTCGACCCAATCCGGTTAGGAAAGATTCACTTTCCCACTCGGGTTAATTAGATTGGAAAGCCCATTAACCATAACCAAAGACTCTCTATTAATTTTGTAGAGCAAGATGAGGCCTAGGGTTTCTAAATAAGACCAAGAGATCATCTAGGGTTTTCGATTGATTTCCTATTTATAGTTTTACTACTCACTTTCGCTGGTAAATTGAAAACCAAAGAGTAGATATATAGAGAGGTTTCGAAACAATGATCACACGCAGCCAAAAGAAGAAATTGGAGAACGTTACGGTAGTGAGAAACAGGTTTGTTCAAATCCCTATAGACCTAGTGATCGACATTTTTGGTAGATTGCCTGTGAAATCTTTATCTGGGTTTCTTCTAGTATCCAAGTTATGGGAAACAACCATCCGTAATGGAGATTTCTTCACATCTCGTGTCCTAGTCGCTTTCATTGATATAGATAGACAAAGGCAACTCCAAGATTGGTACTTGTTCTCTCCATCTTCTTCATCAACTTCATTTGTATCATGTGGTACATTTCCCCTTCCAAATCCTGAGCGTGAGTACAATGCTCATTACGTTAACGGCTTAATAAGCCTTGGATATGGTAAAGAGCATCAATTCATAACAAACCCTAGCACCGGTAAAACCATTAATTTACCTAGCGTCAAAGTCAGGGCAATAGTTAATGAGCAGGTACTGAGAAGTTTCTTCGGTTATGATTCAGTAATAAAGTATTATGCATGAAGGAAAAGCTGTTGATCCATGGTCATGGTAATCGTCCGAAATCAACTCAACATCAAGTACACACATTGGGAGCTAAACAAAAACCATGGAGAATGATAGAATGTAACATTCCTCACCGTTGTCTATCTGACGGTCATGTGTACATAAATGGTGTTGTTTATTATGTTGCTTACACTAGTGCTGATTTGTCTCAACTGAGTTTGATGAGATTCGATTTGAAGTCTGAAAAGTTGGATCTTCTTACTAGTTTATCCCCGGACATTGGAGCTCGGCATCGACATGATTCCATAACTTTGATAAACTACCAAGGGAAAGTAGCCTTACCGGCAAAAACTTCAACATACACATATGAAGTGTGGATTATGGATCAGGATGCGGAAACACGTGTGTGGTCGAAGAAAATTTTTAGTATCGAACGTTGCGAGGATTTAATTCAGTTGAGTTTACACATCACAGGCACTACTCACACGGGCGAGTTTATTTTGGCACCAAGGCACTATTGTGAAGGATTTCATGTTATCCATTACAATCCCGACACGAATAGTTTTAGAAACATTAAGGTTGAAGTAAACGAAGACTATGAGTTCAAGCGTCGTTGCACAAGAGCTATTGTTTTCTCGGATTACGTAGAGAATGTTAGGTTGTTGTAGGAGAGAGAGTTTTATAGTTCTTTTTAATGTTTTGCGTTGATTAAACTTCTTTCGAAATATTTTGGATTTTTTTTTTTGTTTAATTCCCTAGTTAGATTCGTATGATTGCTTGTCTTCTACGTCGACTATATAAATTAAAACTAAGGTAATGCTTATTTAG